TCTTCAATGGATGCTTGGGTTGCCCACACCGCTGTTGTGGCAGCACTAGGGGTTGAGTGAGGATAGGGATGTGCAGGTATGCCTCCTTTAGATCTATTGAAGTCAATAGATCCCCCCGCCTGATACTGGTTAAGATGGAATGTAACGTCTGCATTTTGAACCTCCGGTATTGAAGGTGGAGGTTCAGCCCCTTGAGATCGAGGATTGCCCTCCATCCCCCTGAAGATTTTGGAACTACAAACAGAATGGAGTAATACCCCAGTCCCGCCTGGTTCAGGGGGATCTCCTCTATGGCCTTGATGGTGAATAGGTGTTGGATGGCATCTTCCATGAGCCCTCTTTTTACAGAGTTTCTCATGGCTGGGCAAGACACGAAGTGATCTAATGGCATGGATTTGAACTCCAGGGACAGACCTTCTCTTATGGTCCGCAGAACCCAAGAGTCTGTGGTTGTGTTTTCCCATTGGCGGATAAAGAGAGTAAGTCTGCCGCCAATGGGGGGTTCCCTCTGAGTCACTTGGCGTGACGGAAGGGGCGACCCCCTCTGCCACAAAAGGAATGTTTATTTTGGGGCTGGTACCAGGTTCTGTCCCTACAGCTTGCCCTGGCAAAGAAGCACTCAATCTTAAGGGCTGGGGGTCAGTATGGTTGTGCAGGCTCTGTCGTGGCCCCAGTCCGAAAGGACTGTCGGCGACTTAAGGGAGGAAACATCTGTTAGTTCTCCTTGCCAAATGGAAATAACCTTTTGTTTTTGTTTGTTTTTGATGAAATATGGCGTTAGGGCCTCCCCAAATAATCTGCCACCTGTGAAGGTGGCAGTGGCTGCACGCCACTTATGTTTGCTCTCAGCTCTCCAGTGTTTGAGCCATAGAAGCCTCTTAGCGACTACGCTGGAAGCCATTGCTCGGGCTGAGTGCTTGGACGAGTATAGGGAGACATCGCCATATACTCGGATGTGGCTATTAGTTTGGTTAAATCCTGATGGATCCTGACCTCTTCCAACGGAATTCTGTCCTGCAACTGTCGAAGCCAGGTAATTGAAATCCTGGCAAAGAAAGAAGTGGAAGTTGCCGCCTTTGCTGCCCATGCAGATGCCAAATGGACCTTGCGTAAGGCCATTTCAGATTTTTTATCTTCCGCCTTATGGGCGTCCAAGACATCTGCCAGGAGACTGGCAGTCGAAAAAAGCGGGGCCAGTGATTCATCTACTTTTGGCACCTCTAATAAATCTGCCAAATTCTTTGCCATGTCCACTATCTTGTGCTCAATTGTTCCCTGGGTCAGCTGAGCTGCCGGTGACTCCCACTGTCCCTGAATATTTTTGAGGAATAATGGGGGACAGAGAATTTGGAGGTGTTTGTCTACAGGTTCAGCAAATACGGGATTAGTGTGCTGATCAGAGGAAGGCTGTGGGGTTGGAGCCGGATGGGAGGAAAGCTTACCCGCTGCACAGGTTCTGCGCAGCAAGGAAGGAAATAACGAAGCGTTGACTAGCTCTGCTATAGGCTGAGATTCATGGGTAGGTTCCTCACAATCAGACCAATGTCCATACCTTCCTCATAATCCGAAATGTTGGAAGAGTTGGATTCAGGAGAATGGGATGGGGAAACCATACCTGAACGATCCAGTGGAGGTCATGCAGAGGTGGCCAGAGCAGAAGAAGACCCCGGAATGGGAGACTGATGGTGACCCGATGATGCCATGGTTTGGAACACAGCCTGCGATATCCACACTTGGAGCTGGTCAGAGAAGGACTGCTCTAGCGGAAGCCGTAACCCCGCAGCAGTTGGTGTGGTGGCAGCGGTGGGTGCCATTGCCGGGCAGATCAAGGTCTTCTCCAAACAAAGGTGGTCCTCCCTGACCAAAGGTCTGAGTCGAGACCTGCTGATGCACATTCTCAGGTGACCAAGCTCTCGATGTGGATGGTAGATGCGCCCCCGTGTCAGGTGGTGTGGAGGTTGACAGTGTATGACCCTCTTTCAGCTGACAAGCGTTGGGCCCGGCTTCTCCAGGGCTCTGTGTGTTCGGTCGGCCTGCCTATTGCTTGCCTTGCCAGCCTTCCTGCCATATTTTGATTTGGCTTTAGCCTTACCTCTAGGCGCCTCAGATGCCAGCTCAACTTGGACGGAGGTGTTGTCTATGTCCAAAGGCTGTGGCTCAGTGTTTCTGCCATATCGATCGAGATGCACCCCAGAGGCGACTCTAGAACTGACTCACTCTGCAAGGGATGTCAGGAGGCCCCCCTTAAGAGGGACTGACTTCACATGGATTAGCATGAGCTGGCCCACTGGTTAACCTGGGCTCACGCTTGGCACTGAAGCACTCATCACCCGGGCAATGTGGTGGACCTGAGGCCAAGTTGGTGACGAAATCACACGTGTCCCACAATAGTGTCAATGGTCAGGATCTTGAAGCAACCACTAGATGCAGAGTGGCAGATATAGGCAATGTGGCAAGCAGGTCCTGAAGGACCGTTGCTTCAGCAATGATTCCACACTCTTGTTGATATTAGATGTCTTCAATAGGAATAATAGTTTCTGAAACACTTAAACTCACTGAGAAAGTGAATATAGGTAATGCAAGAGCATATGTAGAAATATATGTAACTATACCAGTTAAAACTATGCAGAAAAAAATATAACTGCAGAAAGTTATTTAAACAAGCTCACAAGATGGCATCCTAGCCTGGCTGTTAAATGGGCATTTCCCTGTGGAAATGTGCCTCAAAATGGCAGACGCCCTGAGCTCTGTTAAGGAAGGAAGGAGGGGGGGAAAGGGTGAGATAATAATAAGACTCTTAAAACAGTCAAAAGGTACACAGGAGTTAAGAAGGCAAAATACGAGGCTTTTCTGAAATGCAGAAATCAGGTCAGCAAATTGCACCTAACGACTGTTAGGCGCAAAACAGCTCACTGCTGTAAAGCGAAGCTTTGTCCTTTTCAGTAGCAGCCGGAGAGCAGAAAATTAAAATCCAGGGAATATTCCCCCCATCGCTCACTTCAAACGATCAACTCAGCTGAGCTTCGGCCGGAGAAAACTTCGGTGAAAGCTGAGCTCTGCGTGTTCAAAATGGCAGCCGTTATAGGAATCACTAACCGGGCCCGGTCAGAGAAGAAGCCACGTGGCCTCAAAATGGTGGCTACCAGAAAACACGTGCGCTTGCCAGGGGAGTGGGAAAACTCAATCTCCTTCTAACTATAATGAAGGGAAAACTCCTCCCCACACATATCTAGCAAAGATTTGAGAACAACTCAGACGACTGCTGAATTCAGGGAAAAGAAACCACTCCCCCTATCCTGGAGAGGAATGTTACTCTAGCCCTGAAGGGAAAGGGAAAAACGATTCAGATCTCCTAAAGAAGGGAATAATCACCACTAATTCTCCCAATCTCAAGAAGAATCCACTAATGGATAATAATATCTAGTCTGACCTGCTATCCAAACAAACTGAGAGTCAGGTTATCACGTCCTCATGGGCGAAAGACTAAATGAAACTGGGAGGTCCCAGACAAAGAGGGGCGTGACAACTTGACAACTTAGTCTGATTGGGCAGGAAGACTGAAATAACCCATTGGTGGATTCTTCAATCATCATGCTGGAGAACAATTTCATCACTTCTTCTGGAAGTTCTCAAATTATAACTCAACTCCTTAAATTCTAAAGGAATATTTGTAGCATTACTTACTGAACAATTCATACAAGGCAGATTTCCTGATTTTGTATAATTTCTAATACCTGTTTCTGTAAATTGGATTATTTCCCAAAACCAATAATTTTAGTTTTGGCAAAAGTAATTTCCAATCATTATTGGAATGTTATTTATGTTATTATTTTAAACATTTCAACCATCTTTATTATTGAGAGAAGAAGCATATCATCAGCATGGAATAAAAAAATATTTTTTATTATTTTGAGATGAAGGGAAAACAATGCAGCTAACAAATAAGGCATCACTGCATTTTTATAAAGATTTAAAAACTTATGTATAAGGCTACAGCTTATATAGCCAAAATACAATAGGTGCTTATCTACATCATAATCCATTAATTTTGCTCATTTTGCTTACTGAATCAAAAGCAGTAGCCAAATCAACAAATGCTACATACAAATGTTTTGTAATAATGCTTATATATTTAGAGGCAAGATAAATTAAAACCTGGAAATGGTTAAACATCCTTTTGCCCTTTCTAAAATAATCTCATTAATTTCTATCCAGTCTTCTAATTCATCTAATAATGTTTTGGCATAAATTGTAGCAGTAGTATTCAGAAGGGACCTATTCTGGTTTCTCCTCAGATCAAACACATTTTTTAAATGTACCATAAGATAAATAAATAAGGTTAGGCTGTATATTAACCATATTCATTCCCCAATTTTCAATCATTTAGATGCTCCATATTCTGTTCAGTTCTTTCCTGGTTATTGTGGCTTATGAGTTTTGTGATCAGACATGGCTGTTGCTAGGCTGATGTGAGTCAAAAGGAGAGAGAAAAAAATGAGGAGAGAAAAAAAATGGGAAGAAAGAGCTTAGATATGGTTCTGGAATGCAGCTGTGCCACCACCAGAACACCTGAGCTAATTTGGTTGGTAGCCAGGACTGCTATGGAATTCATGGAGGCAGAAATCTCACTGCCCAAGCCTAGTACAAGTAGTCCTCATTTAGTGACCATTTGAACTTTCAATGCCATTGAAAAAAATGACACATGACCGGTCCTCACACTTATGACTGTTGCAGCATCCCCATAGTCATGTGATCAAAATTCAAGGGCTTGGCAACTGATAGCCATTTACGATGGCTACAGAGTGCTAGGTCATCTGACCTTCGTAGCTAGTAAAGTGAACGGGGGAAGCCGGATTCGCTTAATGAGTGCATGTTTCACTTAACAACTGTAGTGATTTGCTAAACAACTGTGGCAGAAAGGTTGTAAAATCTTCCGTCACTCACTTAACAACCACCTTCCTTAGCAAAATAAATTCTGGTCCCAATGGTGGTCATAAGGTGAGCACTACCTGTACATAGCGTTTAGGGACTGAAGTGGGGATTTAGCCAGCTTCCCAGTTACTGGGGAACATGCTGGTATTCTAACTGTAAAGGAGAAGAAAAGAGTGTAGTAGAAAGACACAGAAGCAAGTTGTCATATTTCTGCCTATGCTGCCGAACATGGTTGTGGAGAGACTGTGCTAGAAGTTACTTGGCTGGAAACAAACATTGCTGCATGCAGTTACCATTTCCTGGTCCCAGAGGGGAAAAGGAACGTCAGCTGGAGGTATCTCTGAAAGAAGAGAAGCGAAAACTCCGCCCATAACCCAAGGCAGACAGGAAAGGAGGGAGGTGGCTGACTGCAGACAGACACCTGGAAACTTCAGAGAAGCTAGGAACAGAAGGGCTGGGCAGAAGATCCAGAGGGAACTGCATCAATGCAATGTCTATGGAGAGAGTGGCTGATGATGAAAGAGTGGAGCACATGCCTAAGTAATTCAGCCAATTTCTCCTTCCCTCTCAGTGAGAAGCTGAAGGGGAGGGAGGAAGAGAAAAGGGGAGTTGGTAGCTAAGCAACAGAGCTAGTGTTTGCTAGAGAATAGCCCTGGCAGTGAGACCTGGAGAAAGTTGACACCCTTCTTGTAAATAGTAGTTCCTTATTGCTATACTGTTAATCTACTATATGCAGTTTTGCATCTAGTAAAAAGAGGATGAATGCCTCCACTGTCCCTGCTTCAGAAAAGCAAGTATGATCCTTTAAGGAACAAATATACACAACTGTAAACTGAACCAAGTGTCAAATGGTGATAGTCAGCAAACAAATCCTTCAAGAGGTAAGGAGTTTTTAAGGGCAATTCACAACAAGCTGCTCTCATTTTCTGTATTGTTGAAGTATGGATTGCAAAATCTTTAGCATTATTTTATAGCATGTGAAAGAACTACAACTCCTTGAGAGCGTGGGTATTTTTTATCCTGCCATTTTTGATTTTGGAATATAAAGGACCCTTTTCCAGTCTTCTAAGCAGTGCTGGGGTTTCCACACCTGCTTACAAACAGCATATGGCACTTCAATATCTTCTAAGAAAATCCACAATTTTCCTGGTATTCCACCAAATCCTACAGCTTTGGTTGTTAACAAACAAACCCAAAGGGCAAACTCAATGGACCACTGGATCTCTTTCTGCCATCAACCTTCTATGTTTCTATATGTTTAAGGGACCATTAAATTCACTAGGGATCTATTTACTGACATTTTGGGGTTTTCTAACATGCTAAAGGGATATGGATTGGCTATCTTTGTCTAGTAACTTTTTTAACACCTATTCAATAAAATTATTTTTGGTCTTTCTCCCATTTATGAGCCTACAGTATTGCCATCAAATTCTAATGAATTAATTGGCTTCTGACTTACCATTAGGGTATCAGTATTGCATCTTTCAGTATTTTTGTCTGTTTGTACAGAATAATGGAATCGAAATGTACATTAAAGTTTGTTTTGTTCTATTATTGTTCTATAGCACCAAAACACACCCACAACTTAGAAATGATTTTGTTTTGTCTTCCTCTTGATCTTCCTCCTTCATAGATCCAAATCTTTGACCAAAGAGATTGTACATGTAGACCAAATAGATCATATACACAGAAAGAAAAAATTGTATGAAATCAATCAATCAGTCAATCTTTATTCAGTCACAGACTAGCCGATAAAATATTAAAGCCACAATTAATTATGATTAAAAAAATAAAATAAAAATAAAAAATGTAGACAGAATGAAAGAAAATACTACAATGGGTATGCAGAAGACCTGGCTTCGAATTTACTGTTCTAGAGATGGGAAGGAAAAGCTCTTCTCTCAAGAATGGAATTGTGTCATTCTCACTACAATTGCATCTCACAATGAGATTGCTGAGCAAAACAATACAGCTGTTTCTAATACACGGAACTTGATTCAATTTTCTGTTTCTTCTACAACAGCATCCCTATAAATATGTAGGTTTCTGAACATGACAGTATGTTAGTTTTTCCCAGGCTGATGCTTGCCAGATGTATTGGATTAAAATACACCGTTTCTAGCCAGCAAGAATATTGTGTTTGCTGAAAGGGGATTATGGGAGTTGTATTCCAACACATCGGATAGCCCTAAAGTGGGAAAGGTTGCCATAGAAATGCAATACATCATAGCAAATGCCAGGATTATATTTTGGAACACAAAGAAGTATGGCTTGGCCTAATGTTGTATAGATCTAGTGATTTCTTATGGTTGGTGAAAAATTATGTTTTTTATACAGACATTATCATCTATAGTTCAAGCAGCTATATCCTAAAGCATAATACTGATTATCTAATGAAAATTTCTGCTTTTAATGTGTTATGAAGCATTTCACTTATAAACACAATCCATTACAGTAATTAAACATTATTTTTACAGCAGGTGGAGGGAAATTCTCCTGCACCATTATATACAGAAAGTTAAATGTTATATAGGACAGTCCCAAAATAAATGTAACAAATGAAGTTTTCTGCTACTAAACAAGATGTACACAGTATCCAAGGCTGATTGATTTCAATGGTATTAAAAGCAAAGTCCAATGTGGTGCTTCACTATCAAGATTTTCCCGTATCTATATTTTTTTCCTAAATGTTATCCCTGTCTAACTAAAAAACTAATAGTTTCACAAAGAATATAAACATTACCTTAAAGAAGAAAGCCTCTGACTAGAACAATTAAACTTTTTTGAATGAATTATAGTTAAAATGTTTGACCTTCCACCTTAGTGGCCAATTTATTGTTATTAGTTCATCACATAGTCAGCCAGATGTTCAGAATGGATTTGGAATTTTTTGTCTACCTATTGAGTCCTTTTCAAAGACCTGGGATAGGCAAATGTGAATGCTTGATGGTGTTACATATATTGTTGCAGGATGTAAGATGTTCGAGTAAAATTACCTTTTCCAGTTGACTGATGGTGATTTTGTCAATGCCCGTAGTGTTTAAGTGGTGCTCCAGTTGTTTTGGGATTGCTCTCAATGCACCTATTACCTTTGATTGCTTTTGCCACAATCATTTTATTTGCAGTCTTTGAATTTTGTTTCTTCTCCAGTTCTTTCTCTTCTATTTTGCTGTCTCCAGGTACTGCTATGTCTTATCAACAATTGTTAAGTCTGGGGTATAATGTGACAGGTCCCTGTCTGTTTGAATTCTAAAGCCTCAGAGCAATTTAGCTTCATTTTCTATGATTTTCTCTATTTTTTGGTCTCACCAGTTCTTGCTTGCAGGCAAATGATATTTCTTGCAGATTTTCCAGTGCTCCATCGTTGCTACTTTCTCATGCCATTGCTTGGAGTCAGTCTATGCCATCTTCTTGCAGCAGCTACAGTTTCTTCAGCTTCTTTGCATAGGCTGCACTTACTGTCTGTTGCTGTCTTCTAGTTTTGTATTCATTTGTTAAGGCTTGGTCTTGTGGAGCCAGAATTAGCCCCTCTGTCTCTTTCTTCAACTCTCTTGCTGCTTTATTATTTCCACTGCTTCCTTGATCTTCCTTGTTTTTAAGTGATACTTCTTGATTAGGTTTTCTTTGGTCTTTTTGTTCTTCAACTTTTCTTTCATCTTTTCTAGCTTGCTTGTATCTGATTTCAGCTTGCTGATCTTACTTTTCAATCTGATCAACCATTTTGGTGGTGCAATGTTTGGCTTTTTTTTTCTTCTTTGTTGATTTTGCATCCCAGGTATTCAGTTATAACTACAGCTCTGCTGTACATTAGTTGGTTTGTTTCTTTCAGTGAGCTGGTGCATATATTTGATATTGCAGTATTGCCATCTTGTAATACTTGTGGTAGTTGTTTCTTTGGAACAAGCTTCAAGATAGGCAGCCTTATTGATGTTGTTGTGCTGTTCTAGATACTCAGTTATTCTTTGTTTCAGTTCTTCTACTTCTTTAGTTAGAGGTTTTTTGTTTTTTCTGAGGCAGAGGAAAGGGTGCCTGGTTTCCAAATGAAAACAATTCTATATCTCTGTTGGATTCCTCTATTGCCAACTCACTCTGGTTTGCTTTTACAGTTTGAGTTACTTCTTGCAAGGATTTGATTTCTTTGGTCAGGGTAGACCTGTTCAATTTTTCTAATTATGCTTCTGTAAATACTTTATTTCGTACTATAAATCAATGTTGATTTGTAGCCTCTGTTCTGTTATTTCTGATTCTGGAAATTGCTCTTTCCAGAACTGGTGCATTCATTTCAAATATCCTCTTCGTGTTGGACTTGATCTGTAATAACAGATCATTATTTCTTTGTTTTCAATCTCTGCATACTTGCGACAGATAAACACCTTTCTTTCTAATAGTTCTGCAGCTGCTGGCCCTGATTGCTCAGCCAACAATCCTGAGTAACTAGCCCATTTTTCACCACATATCCAGGAACTACAACATCTAGCATAGTCCTTGTTAACCCGGGTGACAACCAAGCCAGTATGGATTTCTGTAATTCATATCTTACCATATTTTTTATGGGAGAGATACTCTTTGTTTGATTCCTTTGATGAGATCTGTCCAATATAGTTGAACCTCTGGCACAATAATATGGCTAAAATTTCAATTTATAGTATATTTTATTTATTTAGAAATAAACCTCTACATGCAGAGACATATTCTCAGGAAATACTGTGTAAATTGTCAGTCTAACAAAATATTGAAAATGTAACAGTTCAAAGCTCTAGCTCAGAACTAAAAATAATTTATAGTAGCAGGCTATAATTTGTCAATTTTCATAGAGACTGTTAAAAAGGTTAACTTTATTCAAGAAGCTGTCTAAAATGCAATCTGTTGTGTGCAGCATGTTTTCCTTGTCAATCTAATTTGTAATCCATTTTCCTAAAACTCTGGAAAGCTGATTCTTGCAAAAATTTGCACATAGGAGAACACTTTATTTAAAGTTATAGAACTCAAACTTGTTATTTTAATCCTAGTAATCTCTTCATTATTTTCCTCTTCCATACAATAATTTTAAATTGATTTATCAGTCTCTTACAGGTGTTTGAATATAAATACTAAATATTCTCCACTAAATAGCACTGGTCTCACTTGTAGTTGATCTCTGGTGTGAGCGGGATAGGGGTAGTGCATCCATCCTTGCCCTTCTTGCTCTCGGGAAGTTTGATACCATTAATCTTTGTATCCTGTTGAGTTGGGTGCAGGATTTGAAGCTAGGTGGCACAGTCTTGTGTTTGTTCAGCTCTTTCTCCAAGGCTGGTCCCAACTGGTGTTGATAGGGAGAGGTCCAGCCTTTGACAGCTCTTTTGTGGCATGCTGCAGGACTTGATATCCTCGCTGCTCCTTTTTAACATATATGAATCTGGTGGGCAAGATCATCCAATATCACAGGATACTGTGCATTGCACGTGCGTTGCAGTTGCTGCCCTTTTGTAGTGCCTGGAGGCTGTTGGACTCTGGATTGAGCACAGTAAGGTTCAGCTGAACCTGGTAAGGCTCAGTGGCTATGGATACGTGGAACCTTGGGATCTGGGAGATTAATAGCTTTTAGTTCTGGATGGGATAGCACTATCCAAGGCAGACCCCTTGCACAATTTGGTAATTGTGCATGACTCTTGAAGAGAAGATGGCAGTTGTAGCTAGGAAAGCCTTTCCTGGATTCTGAGATCCTGTGCTCATTCACTCATGACCTGGTCATATCTAGCTACTACGGACTACTGCAATATGCATTACATGGAGTATTCAGAAGATATAAATGTTTCAGAACACAACTGCAAGGACAATTCTAGTGGCACCTGGGGCAGGTACATGTAACACTATTGTTATGTGAGCTGCATTGGTTGCCAGTTTGCTTCTATGATCAATTCAAGGTATTGGTTTAAAGTCTTTTATGATATGGGACCAGGTTAGTTAAGGAACTGTCTCAACTTAATGCCCATTCTGGCAGAACGGGCATGCTGCATATCCTGTTGTTCAAGGAATTTTGGATGGCAGGGTCCCTTTGGAACATCTTGCTGCTGGAGGCAAGATCTGCCCCCACCCTTTTGGCCTTCCTAAAAAGCCTCAAAACCTGGCTCTGCTGATTGGCTTGGGACCTCGATGGGGGGGGGGTTTGCTGGAGGTGAAGTAAGGCACCTCCATGCTGCGCATGTACTTGCTTTCTAGTTTTATTTAATTTCTGTTAGTTCTAATGTTTTAATATTTTAATGCATTTATATTGCTTTCATTGTATTGTAAGCTCCACAGAATCACTTTGGATAGTGAGATGGGTAGCATATAAATGTAATAAAGAAGACCAGATCAGCAATACTGCATGTTCTAACTTTGACCAGTTTAATATTCTTCTCTAACTAGCATTTCTCTCCACTAATAACACATTTTAAAGGTAATTTCAGTTCACAGTATCTTATGAAGTCCTTCTTCTCAACTTAAGGTTGACCCTAATACTGCTGAACTTTAGATAGGCTGTCAAGTCTGGCTTTTTTGTAGGCTTTTGGATTATGATATGTTGGAAGCCTGAGTGGATGAGAGTGTAATTTCTGTTTGCATGGCCATTTTATTCTTGTTTTTCACTTTATGTATTGTGGCTTTGTGTTTTTTTTTTTAAATTCTGTTGAATTTTATGAAAGCTGCATTTATGAAAGCCATAGCAATTTTGGTTGAATTTAACAGCCATACAAGCATTTTAAATAAAAGAAATATTAAGTTTTGATGAAGAAAGACCAAAGATTATATAATTCATACTTTAAATGAAATGTTTCTTGTTTGTCAATCAAACATGGTTTGCTATTTGTACTGTATCCCACAAAAGTAATGATTTCATGTGTACTAAATCCACATTAAGCTGGAGAGAAAATATTTTGATATTGATCAAATCTGGTCCTGGTTTTCATGTCTGGTCTATGCTATTTCAGACTACAGGTAGTATTCAAACTTTTTGTATGCTAATTGAAACATAAAAAACAAGATGTTAGGCTAATTTTCTGAATGAAATAATCAGGTGATGGTATCATTCTATCACTTAAATTCCCTCTTGCAATGCAAAACAGTTCATACACCTCCACTTCTAAAACTGCACTTGAATTTGTGGAATTGAAACATTTGGATGCATTTTTTAAAAAAATAAAATCTATATATAGAACAGGAAACCACAGTCTGGATAGAATATGGTGAAACAGACTGGATCCCTGTTGAAGAGTGAAACAAGGCTGTATTGCCTTTCCTTATTCAATCTATACATCTAATATATTCTGATGGTATCTAGATTGGAAGATGGGAAGAAGAAACATCAATAACCTCTCCTATGCTGATAACACTAGTGTGATAATAGAAAATGTGAATGATCTGCAAACTATGGTAATGAAAATCAAGGAGCATAGTGGAAAAACAGGACTACAATTAAATACTGTATAAAGAAAACTTCACTAAAGATAACAGGTATAGCAGCAAGCCTTAAAAACTTATAATGAAGGCACTGAAATGATGGATACCTTCTATCATTTAAGGTTGAATATTTAAATGATTTTATAGCCTCCCATTTCAGCATACTGACTCTTATTGCCTAACAATACACAAAAACAAAATACAAAAACAAAACAAACAACAAAATACCAATTTTATAAGTAATTTTTAAAAAGGATCTATCACATCAACCTCAAAATAATTATAAACAATATAATCTAACCAAGGTTCCTAATAAACAGTCTGAAAAAAGCTCCAATTTTATATCTTGGGCTCAACTAAGATTCTAAGTGAATAAGAGAACAGCCAGGTTTTCAAAGCTCTACAGAAGACTAAGTTAATTACCTAAGGTCAAACACCTTCTAAAACAACAGATTTAATTCAGTGGAGCTTTTGAGGGAGACTTTTCAAAGAGATACCTTTGAATGCAAGAACAGGACATATTACACTGAAGCACCAATTGCTTCATTAGCCACACAGGAGGCAAAGATGGGTCTAAAGAGAGGGGATTCCACCACTTTTTTAAGGTTTAGGCAAACTAGAATATGCATATGACTGGATATAGCAGTAAAATATTTGATTAAGTATAGTCAACAGCAAGTATTTGATTGGGTACATACATCATATTCCTAGCAAAGACAGTGACGCAGCTAAGATGTTAATAGGGCAGAACTACAAAGACAATGATGTTTTGCAAGAATAAAGAGGGAGTTATTTCATGAACATGGACTTGTGTTGCAGGCACACACAGGCAGACAGTACTCAAAAGCTGAAGTAGATAACAGCAGACAAAATGTAATTCAAATGCTTAGCAGACAGGACTTGCCTGAAAAATGCCAGTTACAGTCCAAGAAGCAGCCCTGCCCAAATATATTCCTAGAGTCATAAAAAGCCAAATCAGGTAGGGCCATGAAGCAAGAATCAAACTAGAATTACGGTACAAATGGTTGTTTCCAGCAAAGACTGCAAGCAAAGCAGCTACCTAAATCTGCAGACAGCTGGCTGCAATTATGCCTTACCCTTCGCCTAGCTCGCAAGTAACCTGACTGAGGAATGCTGCTCTGCTCACCTGTGTATGTGTTTGGACCTGGGGCTTGTGGGTTGTGCCTCATTTGAATGCTCCAGTTCAACAGGAGATGCCTGTGGCTGACCAGCCTCAATTGAATCCTGGCTTACTGGATGCAGAGGCTGAATCCAGAAGCACAGGCTCAGCTGGAGCAACATCATCTGATTCAAATCTAGCATCTGATTCTGAATCGTGGCTCATAAAACATGATGTCATTATCGGAAGCTACTTTGGTTGCCTTTCCCAGAACTCTGCTTACCTCCCAGTATCTCTTCCCAGCTTATCATTCTTTCGCCTTCTAAAATGTTTAATGGCTAAGCTGACTGGGAAGTTTCCCTGGGAAAGTGTTTCTGTAAAGGGGTTAATTGCATAATTTTGACGCCATTAAGCTGAGGCAGTACTTTGCCTCCATGGGAAGATGTATTTGGATTAGAGGCTTTTAACCTGGCACACACACCCTTTACTTTTTTCTAGGTAAGTGAAAACTATATTGTTTAAGAGTACAAAAAAGCCCTTTCCTTAAAAGAGCAACAGGCAAACCTTTCTGAAAATAACATTCCTTAATTGCAGCATTTTTTTCACTACTTTACAAAATTGAGAACATTTTTCTCTATGTCTCATATTTGGCATATCTAGTCTAAGGGTGAAAATGGAAGGGAGTGTCTAAAAAAGTGAAACTAGAATATATCACTGAAACATGAGCAGATGAATTTCATATTCAAATGAACAGATAAGGGAAACAGATTAAAAAACAAAATGATTTAAATACTAATGAATAAAACATGGGGTGAATTTAATTTAACAAAAGAATAAAAAAAGGGATAAATTAAGACACATGATTTTATACTCCTATGAACTATGCTACTTACAAATAATGTTGGAAATGTGCAGCATAACGTAACCAGAATACAAAGAGTTAATTTCATATGATTTTATTTACTTAGCTAAACTATGCAGGAAAAAAGCCCCATATTCACAATAGCAACTGTGATTAAAATACAAAGACAGATGGCAAAGTATGCACCAGAGTTTGGAAGATAAGGAAGAGAGTGATGAATTAATATTACTTTAAATTCTCAGCCACATATACCTATTCTTTTTTCAATGAAAGCATTGTCTTGCATATGCATTAGCATTCCAGACACTGCCAAAACTCTAACCCTTCATACCATCACAGTCTGCATATCAAACATAGGTTTTGGAATCTGTACACAAATCAGCACAATTATGTCTTGGCACAGAATCCCAGTGGTTAGCTAGGCCAGCAAACCACTCTCTCCCATCTGTTCCACTTCCAAGTAGTGAAGGGGTGTATCTTGGCAATTACTCTCACAACAGAAGGTCTTTGTGAAAAACTGAATTTAGAAACCTGTTCATTACACAACTTCCAGAAGGTTTGTCTTCTTTGTTCAAACTACCTGGCAGGGTAAATGGAGAGAACAAAACTATAGTCTGTTCTTCCATATTTAGTTTCTTTTTATTCACCATGAAATCCTAAAATTTCCTCAAAATAATTTGCAAAAGCCTCTATATTAAACTAATTAGTATTTTCCAAAATTTCAATACTGTGGATCAGATCTGTAATTAAGAAGAAAATGCAATATGTACTAATTTTCTGTTCACAAGCGAAATATAGATTTTTCACTTAAAGAAGGGAGAACCACTTTGGTATTGTGGTTAAGGTATTGGTTTAGAAACTAGGAGATTATGAATTCTAGGCAGGAAATCCAACTAACTCACAAAATTATTATTGGGGAGGGGGGAATAGAAGACAATAGTATTGGCATATTCACTGCCTTGAGTTATATATTAAAAGGTGGAATAAAATCTAATTATAATATTAATTTCCTAATATTTACTTGTAATTCTATTTTTATCTTATTATTGTTAGCTACATTTCATGCACAGAACTGTCTTTCTCCATCCTTATTCTAGCCTCCTGCAAAGCCTGTCCTGAGAGCCTCTCTTCAGATCTTATGTAAGTACACCATGTTCCATTCCAATGACTTGGTTGTTAAGCAAAATGGTTGCCTTGAGCGCATGTAAGACACACATATATAAAACATATTCATTACAGAGAGAGAGAGAGAGAGAGAGAGAGAGAGAGAGAGAGAGAGAGAGAGACTGCTAAGATCACTGGTTGCTGCCATTTCATTTATTTAAAGTTCTACAGTGTACTGTGCCTTTTATTCCCCTTTTTTTTTTTTTTTTTTTTTTTTTTTTATTAAAAGTTTTATAAATTTTAAAAAAAAAACAAGAACAATACAGAACAAAAAACAACATATACAAAAGAGAAAAAAAAATTAAACAATACATATAAAAAAAAAAAAACCCCACCCCACACCCCTCCCAAAAACCCTCCCTTCCCCCCCCCTGAGCTTCCCAGAGCAGAATATAGGCTTAAGAAATAATAAAAAAAAAAAATAAAATAAAAATTAAATTAAAAACTCTATATTTATATATATAAAAAAGATATCTATAATATATATAAAAATAAAACTTATGAAAAGGCTATATAATATTTTTGTATACCCAATCTAAATTGTATAAATTTTATCCATTTGTCCCAGATAGCAAAAAACTTCTCTTGCGTTTGTTGCTTTAAGAAAGCCGAAATCTTTGCCATTTCCGCCAAATAAGCTACTTTAAAAAACCATTCCTGCAATGTAGGCAAAGATTCCTTCTTCCAATATTGTCCAACCAACAGCCTCGCGGCTGTGATCAAGTTTAACATCAATACAACCTCCTTTGTATCACAATCTGTAACAATACCTAACAAAAATAATTGCGGAGTGAATTTTACCCTCCTTCTAAAAATTCTCTGGATATTCCACCATATTTTGATCCAAAATGCTTTTATCTCTCTGCATGACCACCAAATATGATAATAAGAAGCCTCCTTGTAACCACATCTCCAGCATTTAGGTTGCACGTCAGGGTACATATAAGACATTTTTTGTGGATCAAGGTGCCATCTATAAAACATTTTATAAAAATTCTCCCTTAAATTCTGTGCTTGAGTAAATTTGACATTTCTCACCCAAATAGTTTCCCAAGTGTCCAATGAAACTGGCTCACCAAAGTTCTGCGCCCATCTAATCATACAATCTTTAATTAGTTCCGTTTCTGAGTCCAATTCAACTAAAACCCCATAAATTCTCTTAATGTGGGTTTGTCTTTGATCCTTCAGTTGCTTAATAAGATTTTCATCTTCTCTAAGAAAACCCACCTTACAATCCATCTTCCATCTATCTAGTAGTTGCCTATATTGGAACCAAGAATAAGTAAAATTTTCTTGTGCTAATTCTTCCCGTGATTTTAATTGCCAGTTTTGTCCATCCCATTTAAGTAACTGTCTATAAGACACCATATCCATTTTAACCCCTCTTTTTATTCCTTCTATCGCATGCCAAGGTATAGCCCATAATGGTACTTTAAAATCACTTTTATAATATTTTCTCCAGATCCTAAGTAAAGAAATTCTTAAAATATGAGATTTAAAAGCCCAATCTATTTTTTTATTAAATATTAAATAGGCATGCCACCCATAAAGTAAATCCCATCCCTCTAGATAAAGTATCTCAGAATTTGTCAAATTTACCCAGTCACTAATTAATGTTAAAACCACCGCATCATAATATAATTTCAAATTTGGTACCTTGAGTCCACCCCTCTCACGGAAGTCTTGCATAATTTTGAACTTAACCCTTGGTTTTTTCCCTGCCCAAATAAATTTATTGAGACCCTTCTGCCACTCATTTAAATTAATCTCATTTTTCAAAATTGGTAACATTTGAAACAAAAAAAGAAACTTGGGTAGAATATTCATTTTTATCACTGCAATTCTTCCCATGAGGGATAATTGCAGCTTTTCCCAGTTCTTCAAGTCTTTCTGTACCCCGACCCACAACCTTTCATAATTGTTTTTAAATAATTTTGCATTAGAAACAGACAGCATCACCCCCAAATATTTTACCTTATTAACAATCTCAAAACCCGTCGAGTTAACCAAAATCTGCTTCTCCTGACTCGACATATTTTTAGGTAAAATTTTAGTCTTATTTACATTAATCTTAAAACCCGAGACCAAACCATAATGGTGAATCAACTGTAATAAGTTTACTACAGAATAATCAGGTTGCGACAAAGTAACAACCAAGTCATCCGCAAAAGCTCTCAACTTATATTCTTTTTTATTAACATATATTCCTTTAATTTCCTGAGACTCTCGAATTTTAATCAATAATATTTCCAATGTTAAAACAAACAACAATGGCGATAAAGGACACCCCTGTCTAGTACCTTTCTCTATTGTGAAAACCTCCGACAAACCTCCATTAACAATAAGTTGTGCTGTTTGTTTTTGATATATTACCTTAAGGGCTTGTAATATGTTTTCACCAAAATTCATTTCTTCCATTACTCTTAGCATAAAATGCCAATTCAGTTGGTCAAATGCTTTTTCAGCATCTAAAAATATGAGCCCTGCAGAAACTTGGTTGTTCTTATCTAAGTATTCTAGTAAATTAATAATTTGTCTAACATTGTTTTTCATATACCTTCCTGTTATAAACCCTGATTGATCTTTATGCACAAGATGATGCACCACCCTCATAAGCCTATTTACCAAAATTTTTACAAATATCTTATAATCCACGTTTAAAAGAGATATAGGCCTATAGTTTTTTGGTAAAGTAAGATCTTGATCCTCCTTTGGAATCAATGATATAAAAGCACTACGCCATGAAGGAGGAATCTCTAAACCCTGTAGGATACCATTAAAAAGATCATTTAATGGTTGAATCATCTCCTCCATTAAGGCTTTATAATAAACAGCTGTTAACCCATCCGTACCCGGTGCTTTCCCTAATTTCAATTGTTGAATTGCTGAGGCGATTTCCTCCTTAGTGATTAAACCATTAATTTCATATTTCTGATCCTCAGTCAGTTTAGGAAAACTTGCCTCAGCTAAATATTTATTTATATCTAACAGTTGTACATTAGTAGATTTGTATAGGTTTTGATAATAATCCAAAAAAGATTTTTTAATTAATTCCTTCTGAGAAACTAGTTTACCCTTATAATTTATTTTCTCTATTATTCTCTGTCTCTGTTTCTTTCTTAATTCCTTTTATTCCCCTTTTTTGCGCCCTCACAGGGTGGAAAGATTGCATGAACAAACTATCTTCCTGAGCTGCTTTTCTCCACGGCACTGCATTTCCCTAAAAAGTGACAACCACAAGTTAACAAACTCAGCTTTGTGAACTTAATTAGTTAATTAGAACACTGTGGCCACATCTCAGGGGCTGCCTGAAACTGACTCGATCGTAATCACCTTTACACTGAAATCTTTTGTTGTCAGGCACACAAATTTTGCCCCTAATGTATGCATTGTTCAGAAAATGATTTTTATTACCATTTATTACCTTCATATTTGCAGATGGTCACTGAGGTAGTTGCTAAATGAGCAGTGGCTGTATATTTGTACATATGCACAAAGTATCTCTCCAGTCAATAGTCAATTGTGTAGATCAAACAGCCATAATTTTCACTGCTGGATAAAATGAAAACTGAACTGTTACTTGTATTAATTTTTGAACCACCAGTTTTAATAAGTTAATGTCTGTATTAATTTATTCTGAAGAATTTGGAGGAGGGCATAGGTATATATATCATTTCATATATATTATATTAATCTAGTCAGAAGAAATGTGCTAATCATAACAATTTAATAGATATAATAGATATCCAACATCTGGAATGCTCGCCTAACGGAACACTGCCTCATCCATCCTGAAGTAGAGTTGGTTCCATCCCTGTTCATTGTCTAGAAGTCCCTTAAAACTTGGTCATATATCATATCAGCTTGAGGGCCCAAGGGACCAGTGAATCTCTAGGCGATTCCATTGCTGTTAATATATGCTGCACTCTGCCTTTTAACTACAAGTTTTAAATTTTCTGGATGTGTTAATTTTTTTATATTTCTGTTTTATAGTTTTTATTGTATGCCTTCTAGAGTAATTTTTTTCATGGCAGCCATATAAATTTGATGAGCGAATGAGTGAATGAATGAATAAATAAATATGTCCTTTTATAAAGAACATCAACACAAAAATAAATTGCTTTGATCCTATACAGTCAATGACTTGTCATTTTAGTCAGTCTTTTTGAAAAGAGCATAACAACAAATATTAACTGCTACCCATGAACCACATTTACTAATGCTGTTGTCAGGTGACATTCAGGAACCTTGAGAATTAATTGCAAGTAATGAAACTCATTTCTACATTGGCCACTTCAATACAATTTACATATGTCAAATATATTTGATATTTTCAGTATTCTTACCAGTCTATTTTACATGGTGAAAATTGATGTTTAGAAACTTACTTTACAAGACAGTATTTATACAACTCTTAATAGACACATTTAATGAAAACTTAATATTCATCAGTTGAGGGAAGTTCTTGGAGAACACCCCTGAATGTTAAGAAATAATTGACAGAGATGGCCCTGAGGCACAAAATTCAAATCTAACCTTGATATGCCCAGGATTTTGCCTTTAAGAATAACATCTACAAGTCTGTTGGCACCTTCATAAATAAAAGATTTTGTACATGGAACAGTTTTATAACTAACTTATGAAGACAGTTCACAAAGGATTCTAATCCTTTGGGGCTGAGCTAAATGTTAAGTTTCTTAATGAGGCACCGCAATTATAGCATCCTCTTGAGTACTTGAAATAGCTATCAGTTCTCAACAGGCTCAAAAAACCTACCTTGAATTTAAGTGTTTCCGTCCGTTTTTTTTATAACTTATGCTTCAGGGAATATTGGTATTGTGAGACTTCTGTACGTTCAGTGCTTCATTTGCAGAGTGATTAAAAATTAATTTGGAGCATTTTGAAATTGGAGTGTTCCAACAAGTCACACAGTCCTGTAGGTAACAGCTATTAGGCAGAAATAAGGACTGCTGTTT